TGCTGTATAGTCATAGCCTTCATGTCTCAGTGTTTGCTGTGTTGTGGTTATTCCCTGTCTGTGGCGGGGCACAGTCCGCAGTGCCGCTGCAGGGAGATGGATGCACCTCGCCGGCAAAAAAGGCTGTGCTATCTGTCAGAATGATGTTGTTGTTGTGGTGTATGTGTCAGCTGTGAGCTGTGGAGCTGTAGCCGAGTGTGTGAACAGCAACCAGAAGAAAAAAAAAGTGTGAAATGCTCAAAAGCATGAAAGTGTGGTCATCGGGTCTGTTGTGGTATTGCTACACTGTCACTCTTAGCAGGTTTTCTCTTGTCTGTTCATCAGACAGACAGACAGCAGTCAGTAAACAGGTGCTGTCAGTTAAATGTAGTGAGATTTGGAACAGTACTGCAGCTGTAACTCATGTGTGTATGTTATATGTTTTTATTTATCTGTTGTTTTGCATTTCATTGTATTATTTTGTGTATTTTTTGTCAGGACTACATTGTTTTACATTGTCTTATGGTTTGCTCAAATTTTTATTTATTGTTTTTGAGATGAAAGGTAGCCTCCTGGCTAAGTCTGGCATATTTACATTGATACATGTTCAATAATACGCAAAGTTTTTAAGCAGAGGTTTGCTCTCTGTTCATTGTCCTGCATTCATTATCTTCACCTGTCGTTAACTGCTTTACTGCTTTCAGCTGCGTCTTCTCTTTCGCATCAACTTTGGCCATTGGCTGCTTTTTCACATATTTTCAGTCCAGTCCTTATAAGTGACTGGACTGAAAATGAGCACAAAAGCAGAGGAATGCTTTTTTGTTCGTTAAGTCACCTATGAGCCATTCAGGCATTAAAAAAAGTCACCTATCTCAAACCAGGATGAATTAGTATTGTGTCTACACATAACAGACAACTGAGCAAAGAACTCATTTTAAATTGTTATAGGAACTAGCAGCCTTATATGCTCTAATGTTTTAGTTGAGCTAAGTTGGCTTACACAGTTTAACAGGCATAAAATAGTATTTCTGCACTCACATTCCCAAAGAGCCTTTAGCTGAAATCCTGACATGACGTGCAGTAAGTCCTTAAAGTTTTGAGGAAACTGAACAAGTGGAGGACAAAGGACAAAGTATCTGAAAGCGATGTTGTAGGAAAAAAAAACACCAGCAAAGACCTGACACAGTACCTAAGAGATGGTGTTGTTTAAATTGTTGGACTAGAGCACTGTGAGGGATCATTTTGACAGAGAGCTGAACGAAAGGCAGCCAATGTACAAAGAAGAGCTTTGAATGCCCTTCAAGAAGCCTGGAGAACTATTCCTGAAGACGACTAAAAGAAAGCTTATCTAAGAGAGGTCAGGCTGTAAATGCTGAGTTATTTTCATGTCTGTTGATTAATAGGCCCATGCTCTGATTTCCTCTACACAGCTGTGCCTGCTTTAAATCTGCTTCTGTCTGACAGCCTGAAGATCCTGGCCATTTAATATTATTTTTCCAGTCCCATCCTTGCATACTGAGAAGTACCCACACTCTCTGAATGATATTATGTACTGTAGATGATGAAACACACAAATTGATAGCAAAATACACTGAGGGACATTTTCTTAAACTGTTGAAGTTGCGTCTTACACAGTTTGTCACGATGGTGAAGCCCTTTCCAATCTTTACTTCTGACAGACTTGCACTCTTTGGGATTTTTTTTAACACAGTTGTGTTACTGACCTGTTGCCATGACAGTGTCAGATGTTTTACCCAGTATGTTTTTAACGTTATAGATACATACTTTGCTGAAATGTGTTGCTGAAGTCAAAATCAGGTAATTCTTTCTTTTTACATGCATCAGGTCCCAATCAGCCCAAATAGCAAAGAGAAATTAAAGATGCATGTCATGTAAGAGTTCGGGTCTTAGGAGGTTAATAATCAAAATTACTTACTTTTAGCATCTGATATATTGTGTTTGTATTTTTTTGGGTTTAAAACACAGGGTTTGTAAGTCACTGCATTCTGTTTTTGTTCAAATTAACAGAGCTGAATAGTGCATTTGAAGCTTTTTACATGTGGAGACATAGTTGGACAACTGCTAAAAAGACAGCCAAAACAAACAAGAATCAGCTTGCCCTCACACTAGCTTTTCTGAACTTTTCACACATCCATCCTCACACACGTACATGCACGCGCACACATGCATGCGGGGTCTCAACAAGTTGCAACAACTAGTGGGAGAATGCTATCCCTGACTTTCAACTTACAATGTTTGGAATTTCTCCAGTGTGGGGTCAGGTGTGAAGACATTAAGAAGGCAGATCACCTTTAAGGAAAAACACAGTGAGGAAATTAGTAAAACACCAATAGCTCAAGAACAGACTTACAGTGTATGAAACACTTCAGGAGCTCTATATTTGTCAGGGGGTCACATACAGTTCAGTGTTGGTAGTAGGATAGGAGGTAAAATCTACTAGTTCTGGGTTCTGGGTTTTTGTGACTTTGTGACTCCTGTTTTCAAAGCTGTAAATAAAAGTAACATCTTTGTTACAGTGAGTCATTGAACATCAAAGGGATCCAACTTTGAACATCTTTGCACTATCTAAAAATAAAGTGTGATGGTTAGAAATTGTTTAAAAAAAGAAGAAGCTTGAATTAAAAACAACAACAACAAGTGATTCACATTTTTAAACATGTTTCCACATGTCAATGGAAGCAAAGCTGAAACTCATTTAAATGTTTTTCCAAGGAAAATGCTAAGCGATGAGGGTTCCACCAATACACAACAGTCTCAGATCATCAAGGCCCACTGATGAGATTATGGGGCTTTTGTTGAAGGGTCAACAAAGTGTGCTTATCCTCAAAATTGACCTTTTTTTCCAGACAGGAGAAAAAAGAGCAAAGGTTATAATTAACTCATGTGTATCTTTCCCAACAGAGTCACTTTGACAGCACTAATTTGATATACTAGAGTTCTTCTAATGTCATTCAAATTACAAATTTACAGCTTAGAAAAATGACAAATTCAGATGTTTCTGTCATGCTGACCTTGCTGTCTGAGTAAGGATTAAGCATAAGCACCTACTGTATGACAGGGATTATAATGCTTAATGTTAATAAATCATCTTATTTTCATTGACTTTTCTTACATTGTCATGCTGTATGTGGCGGAGCAGCCTGAGCTCTCTGTAGGCCCGCGTGGCGTGGATGAGGGACTGAAAAGGCCGGTAGAGCTTCTTGATGGCCACCTTCTCCTTGGTCTTCTGGTCAATGGCAGAGCTAAATGGGACCAACCACAGACTCAGTGATTGAAAACACAGTGGCCATTTTAATCTAGGACTGCTATTAATCTGTACTAATTTCGGTGCTGAATATTCTAATCTAATCTAAAAAAATCAGTGAGCTGATAAAGTCATTGAACTAATAGAGTCATACATTGACACAACAACAAATACAATACATATATATCACATGGCTGACCAATCCATTCATTAACTAAACACTGATAAGTATTGCTGCTGTTTGGAAATGTGCTCTGAATGAGCCATGAAAATTTCCCAAACATAGAGATGAATGTTTGGTCCATATGTTGCTCATATTTGCAGTTTCCTATGCAGGACATCTGGTTTTGACTGACTGCGGTTGCCTCAAATCCACTGCAGGTCTGCCTTATATATGCCAGCGGTAGGGTGTGTTGGGATATTTGGGCCACATGTGGTCCAAATAACACTTACCAGTGCTGTACTGCACTGTAAATGCCTGAAAAATAACCCAGAATAGGTCCAACCCTAACATAACTATCTTGTTTCATAATGTTACTTTATGTTACATTACATTATGTTATTTTACATTATGTTATCTTACATCAGGTCATGTTACGTAATGCAACATTACATTGTTACGATGCATTGCATTAGCTTACATTATGTTATGTTGCCTTTGATTATGTGACCTATTTATCTGTAAAGCCAGAAATACAGCGTTCGAAAAGTATTCACGTATTCTGCAACACTAACGAAAATCTTTATGATAATATCAGTAATACGATTCTGTTTGTCAGTAGCTTATCATTAGGCAGAGCCACGTCTGGGATATCCTGGATTCCTGCAGGCTGGGTTCTTCTGTGTTAGTGGAGAGATTCTTGTCATATCAGAGAACCTGCATTGACTTGCTGAGTGGCCTCAGGCGGACAATTGTGTTTCTGTTAACAGAAACAGATGAAAGCCAGCTAGACCCATTCAGGGAGCGAAATGAATTTCCAAGAAATTCAGAAACCTTAGTGAAAAACATTTCAAGACGATCATTTAAATATATTCAGACTAAGCAGAGAGAAACGAAGCGACACTAAGCCGTTTTTAAAACGCAACATTACCTAATGGAAAATCATTATATTACCACACACTTTAACATGTTTACCAGTTTTCCAAATCCTTTGTTGAAGTTGGGTTTTTTTGTTATTTTTGTTGTTGTTGTTTTTACATTTTGTGTTTAAAACGCCATAATAAATACTTCCCTAGAGGGGATGAATTCGTTGTTGGTACTAAACCACGTCAAATAATAGTTTAATATGTTTAGCCTTTTATGGCAGTTTTAAACTTAATCGTAGGCCACCAAAAGACCACCAAAAAACACAACAAAAACAACTTTATACTTTTCTGTTTACAGTAGGGAAAGGAGCGATACAAATTATGTCTGCACTGTCGCCATCGCCCAGGTAAACTCACCACACTGTCCCGTAAGCTCCGGAGCCGATGGCCTGCAGGTTCGCGTATCTATGCGGGACGTCCCACGTTGTTTTCTGGATCTCCATTCTGTGGAAACCCGGTCTCACCGGGGAATCCTTCACTGGAGACTCCATGGCGCTGGGTTTTTTTTGTTCTCCAATCGGGTTTTGACCAAGAAAGTTCTTTACAGCCTCGGTCTTGCAACCTGACAGGTGAGCTCTAGGGTAGGATCCGCATAGAGACACGCCCACGCGTCCTAGTAGCCTGCCCCCGGTCACGTGAGCAGCTGAATCGAGGGTTATCGGCTCGTGCCTGACCTGTAAAACCACATATACCTTTTCAGCCGAGCCAAAGCTGAATATTATTTTTCCAGTCCCATCTTTGCTTACTGAGAAGTACTCACACTCTCTGAATGATATTATGTACTGTAGATGATGAAACACACAAATTGATAGCAAAATACACTGAGGGACATTTTCTTAAACTGTTGAAGTTGCGTCTTACACAGTTTGTCACGATGGTGAAGCCCTTTCCAATCTTTACTCCTGACAGACTTGCACTCTTTGGGATTTTTTCAGCCAGCGCATATTGGGAATGGTACAGGCACCGATCGGTTTTCTATCGCCCATTTGCTGGGAGTAAGGGCGCCCTCCGTTTGCGAGGTGCGCCTGCTGCTTGCGGCACAGGGAGGAGAGGGCGGGGGAGCAGCATCTAATAACCAACTCGCAAAATAACACAAAATAAAAACAAAACAACAAACACGAAAACACCAGAAATTATGAAACAGACTTATAATGTGCACCGATGTTTTTTCGAAATTCTATACGGGAAAAGTGAGCGCGAGAGCCCTCGGTGCGCCTGCTCGCTGCTGAAGTCAAAGTAAACTTTATTGTCATCTCCGCTACATAAGTCCAGTATATAGAGAGACGAGACGACGAGGCTCCAGTTACAGCACTGCAAGTAAACAAATAATAAATATAAGAACAGTAAGAAAATATACCCTTTAGGACTCGGGGTAAAGGGATCAATAACAATTTAAAGTTTATAATTTACAGTTCTATGATTTAAAGTCTCACACACAACCCGTCGAAAGAGGAGGGAGACCTGCTGCTTCCAAGTAGAGCACATTTCATTCATAATGTTGTAAATTATGTATTCATGATTTGAATCCTGGTTTGTGTGAAATCCCAGAAATACACCTTAGACAAAGTGAATCTGTGAACTAAGGTGTAGGTCTATTAGGTTATGTTGTGGTGATCCTCGAGTTGGGGGATTTGTGTTCATACTGGAGTGCAAAATTAAAACCAATGGAAGATGGACAAGAAAAGTTCAAAGCCATCAGGTCCTCAGTTTAGAAAAAAGAGAAAAGAAGAGGAGGAGAAACGAGCAAAAGATACAGGTAAGCAGATGTGTCATTGGATAATGCAGTGGTTCCCAAACGTTTTTTGCTGGGCCTCCCTTTGTTTTACAAGAAAATGTTCTCGCGCCCCGCGTGCACGCACATGCACGCACACATCCTCCAACCACACACACCCATATTTTGCTCCATTGCGGTTTATTTCACACCTCAAACATTTAGTAAACAATTAAGCAAATACATGTAATCTGCAATAAATTACAAGTAGTAAGAAAATAAGCTACTAACTATTTTACGCTGCGTCCGCACCTACACAGGTATTTTTGAAAACGCAGGTCCACACGTACACGACGTTTCGAATCACCGAAAACGGAGATTTTTTTTAAACTCTTTTTTTTGCATTTACATGTGGACGAGGAATACAGAGTTTGTCACGCAAAGTCAAAGGTATGTGTCTTTTTTCACGTCACACTGTGCGCCACGTTATTGTTTACATGAGATGAATTGCAGAATGGCAGATAGAGACAAAATACTGTTAATCTGACTATCTGCAGGTTTTACAGGCTTACATACACAAGCAGTTATTAATGTCCCTCCGTTTACAAAGGCAGAGGCGTCACGATGTGATTATTTTACGTGTAGTTGTTTTTTTCCTGTGTAATAATATTCAACATTGCTATCAATATATTTTTCACAAAATGCCTCTCTGTGCAAAATGGGTTCAAAAACATAAACTGCTGTGGGATACTGTTTGTCCGTGATTTGAACCGGGGGAACAAATCGTGGCAGGATCAGCCTGATATTATTTGTATCCCGCTGTAACTTTACTGTATAAAGAAGTAACATCTCCAAAATGTCAGGAGTATCTAGTCATTACAAGAAGTGTTTGTGAACTAAAAATCACGAATGTGGGACACTGTTTGCCCGTGATTTAAACAGCCCAGCGCTGTTCCCAACCCAGGGAAAAGCAATTCTGCAGGGGAGACCTACCTCGGCACTTTTGCGGGTGAAACCAAAGGGCTGACATGCTTCACCATATTTTCTAGTCTTTGGCTTAGAATGAAGTTGGTTTGGAAACATATTCAGCGATGCTTCATCTCCTGCTTTGCGTTTCTGTAGGCGCCCGTGCTAGCAGTGTCCAAGCGTCAGTGTCAATTGTTGATTTGTCCTGTTCTCATTGTATGACGAATTATGATGGCTGTTTGGTAGCAGTTTGCATACAATGCATACTCTCTCTCTCTTCATGTGTGTGTGTGTGTGTGTGTGTGTGTGTGTTTGTTGTTGTTGTTTTTTTCTTTTTACTTATGTAAACTGTGCATTAATCAACAGCATTTGTAGCTATAATGTTCGAGTTCCCTTTTGGCTTTTCTGATTCATATAGAAGAAATCTGTGCATGGTCCTTGTCTGAAAGGTGGCACCACCAACAAATTCACAGTGGAAACAAGGTATTTATGACGGATTCATGGTGAAGTGTCACAAATCTGTTTTCTGCTCATATTGTAAAACTCTATCATCTTCCCTGTGCAGAGGAGCAGGTACAGTTGCCCCTGGTCTACCAATAGAACTTCCATCTGAGGCCAAAATGTCCTGAACCGACAACAAGGATGGCAGCTGCAGTGTGGAGTACATCCCATATGAGGCTGGCACGTACAACCTCAACATCGCATATAGAGGACAACCTATCACAGGTGCTGAATGGTATTTTAGTAGTATTAAGAAATACAATTGTGAGATAAGAGCGTCTTAAGTGTATAGTGTTGAAATGTACTCCATCTGCTGCTGTTAAAAAAAAAGGGGGGGGGGGGGGGGTAAAGGGGGGGGGGGGGGGCTTAAATATTTCTTCTAATATTCCCTCATGTCTTGCCTGAGCCCAAGAAGGCAAATATCCATTACAACCATGATGGGACCTACCTGGTGCATTATGTGCCAGATATGACTGACAGATACACCATTCTCATTAAGTACGGAGGAGACGAGATCCCTTATTTACCCTACTGAACCAGGCTTCTGTTTTGCAGAGATGCCAGCAAGTGCACTTTCACAGGTATGTACTGGACAAATGGGCTTCTGCAGTCATAGCAGTTATAGAGGTTTTGTTGTTGTTGCTGTTGTTTTCTTTACTTTTTGTGGTTTTCTACTAATTTGTCAAAGTCAGTTGTACTGCTGATCAGCTTCTCATTTCAGTAGGAATAATTAGTAGAACATATTGTGTTTAATACTGATACAAAATGCACCTAGATTTTCAACATTCACATTTGATTCTTATAAACAATATATGCCCCTTTTTTCCCCCAAATGTTGCTTTCTATTGCTATTAAAGTTCTTGCAACCAGGAGAGATCAAAAGGTGTTTTGTGCTGGTTTTCACTCAGAGTGCAGAAATCCATAGTTGCTCTTACAGGATGTAATATATTTCAGAAAATGTTAAACAGATTTACAAATGGGTAAATACCTATAAATATGTCTCTTTAGAACACGAGTAGGTGTTTCTCAGCCAGTATAAGTGGCTGGGTTAGTGATATGAAATTACCTTGCAGACCTCTTGAGCTGTTGTTCAGTTTCATACATACAATGAACTGAGGTATTCTCTTTGGTTAATTACTTGTTTGACAATGGCAATGATTACAAGTAGGGATGCACCGATACCACTTTTTTGGAAACGAGTACGAGTACTTGCATTTCAGTACTCGCTGATACCGATACGGAGTACTTAATAAAAACATGATTTAAATTTGCAGGTAACAGCTTTAGTCCTATAATTTAACAAAAAACAAACAAACAAGGGACTAGTTTGGAATTAAGAACATTTATTTAAAATGAAAAGCATGTTGTATGCAACATATTACAGAATAAATAATTATAAAAAAACAAAATTTA